AGGACTCTCTAGAGAAATTCGGAATGACGAAATGAGAAAGGAGGAGAGGAAGCCCATTTATATATAGTACCAATCCCATCATTAGGCGCGAAGCACGAAAAAGGCACATTTAATGCGCACGACGTCCTAAGCAAGGGAAAATAGCTATAGGCAATGATGAAGCAATTGTGGTTGTTGCAAAATCCTTCGTCTCCTTACAACGCGTGTCCTCGGTGTCAGAAGATCGAAGGCTAGGGGGCAGTTGATGGGACATTTCCGAAATACTCCAAGATGAAGACACGTGTCCTCGGTGTCACTAATCCTTGTTACTGAGATCACGTATCCATCGGTTCACAAGTCCCTCTCCCCCGAGGTACTTGTCATAGGATCAAGTGACATCCAGTATATTTACGTACCGACACGTATCCCTCGGTCTGATATGGTACATCGGTCGTTATATATACCTCCCCTCTCGGCTCCAAGATGTACCAATCCTCCTCGGTACCGAGATGTACCAATGTCCAGGATGACATTCTCTTCTCCTGTAGAGCTACTGATGTACAGGTCACTAGCCTAGGCTAGACTAGGTTAGCTATCATGACCTCGTCTTACACAATTAGTGTCAGAAGGCACAGGAAGGCAGGGGACACAGCCAATGGGGAATGGACGCATGGCATATTGTGTCACATCAGAGACCGCATGCCCTTACTGACACACGACTTGAGAAAACAAGCATTTAATTACACCATTCCCTTGATGAGACTGCATTCAATGCGGTAAGGCTCGTAAGTGAAAGACAATAAATGTCTCTAAGGCTGAACATTTATTACATCCTCCCCGAAAGGAGCTCATTGAACAGTCGACAGGCCGATGACACAGCCTTGGTTGCTCGGGATCCCGAGCAGTTAAAAAGAGAAGACATTCCTCATAGGAAATCGTGCACACGATTGCCTGTGCCTAATAATCACCTACTGACCACACTGACAGCAATCATGAGTTTTTGAGGTATAAATACCCCTCGCAAAAGGCAAGACAAGGGGCAACGAAAAACCTTTGTTACAAATTATACTCAGTGTTTTCTTCTTCCTCTCTCTCTTAAAAACTGACTTGATCGTCGGAGGGGATACGCCGAAAAACACTCTGGCGCCATTCTAACTTGTCTTTCTTTGTTCCAGGAATCTTCCTCAGCTGTACTGGATCGTTTCATTGATCCACGAGGGTCTCCCATTACCGTTCCAGGTTACCACNGGATACGCCGAAAAACACTCTGGCGCCATTCTAACTTGTCTTTCTTTGTTCCAGGAATCTTCCTCAGCTGTACTGGATCGTTTCATTGATCCACGAGGGTCTCCCATTACCGTTCCAGGTTACCACCGGACCTCACAGGCTGTTCCAAGCAGTAGGGTTGACCACTCGACAGACTCACTCGAGTTCACCAAGAGAGAGATCTGTTCTCGTATTTATATTGTGCAAGATCCAGCACGCACATGAGTGAAATATAATGTTCAAATATTGTTTATATCTTATTTAAGAATTTAATATGATAAGATAATCAATTAGAATTGTTTGCTTAAAAGTTTTTTTTTTTTTGGGTCGCCTTTGCTTAAAAGTTGATTTCATNTTACATATAGGAATTGGGGTGGACAAAGTTTGGTGCCAACGATAAACACTTACTAGGAAAAATCAAAGGCCATGGCCAAGTATGTTCAAGTGAGAGATGTTAGTTTGAGGTGAACAAACTAGGACAACCGGTGGTGATCAAAGGTTTTCTCCGTGTAAGTTTTGGAAGAGGTGTAACTGTTGGTGGCCTTATTGTTGGATTCAAAAACCAACCGGTAAAGGACATAATGGTAGTCTCTAAATAGGGTAAAAGATTTTGAGAAACGGGTATCAATAACCATANGAGGTGTAACTGTTGGTGGCCTTATTGTTGGATTCAAAAACCAACCGGTAAAGGACATAATGGTAGTCTCTAAATAGGGTAAAAGATTTTGAGAAACGGGTATCAATAACCATAGACATCACTTGCTTTTTCTCTGCCGAAAATCCGAATGATTCTCTCTATCTTTTGTTTCTTTCAATTCTTACATGTGATTCACAGGCTAACGACATTGTGATCACCCATTGACGAAGATATTTGGGACCATCAAATCCAACACATACATAAATGAATACACCAAAAAATGCACACACAACACTAATATAATAAAACACACACGTACACACATACTAATACATTTGTACTAGCACATGTGTCCTATCATTGGTGTATTAGTATTTCTGTGTGTGTTTTTTGGTGTTTTAGTGTTTGTGTGTGTATATTTTTTAGGTGTACTAGTGCATGTATCTTTTTGGTATATGAGTGTGTGTTGGTGTATTAATGTATGTGTTTTTTAGTATACTAGCAATGCAACACGTACTTTGCACGTGAATAATTTTCATACACACAATATTAATAAAAAGTATTAGGTATATATGTACTTACATTAAATATCATATCAAGTTTATCAAAAATTATATTTTTATCGCCTGTATTATACTATAAAATTCAAAAAATATTTTTTGTTCTCATCGATTTGTTGTTCTAATTATAAGAAAAAAGATAAAAATAATTCATTTGAAATTCATTTGATTAGGTTTCAACTTGAATAAAATAAAAATAATTGTCAATATTCTTAGGTCAATAGGGATAAAATATAGGGTTAATAACACTTTGGGTCTCTAAAATATGCTTTTTTTTTTGTCAATTTCATCTTTAATATATAAATTTTATCAATTTGGTCTATAAAATATTCAATTCTTCTTTAAATGATTCATAACCAGACAATCTATTAATTTTTTTTTATGGAAATGAACACATGTCATTCTATCATTTAGTATCATGTGACCAACACTTTCACTTTTGTCAAAAACTTAACAAATTGTCTGGGTAAAGATCAATTAAACCATTAACTTTATAGACAAAATTAACAAAATTGATACAATGAAATTCAAACTGATAAATCATGTATATTTCATAGACTAAGAGTACTATTAACCCTAAAATATAATACACTACTCTATAATATATATTTTAAAAGAATANTTTTTTGATACTTTAAGAATATATATGAGAATATTGAGTGCTTGTGATGCTTATATAATAATAAGCAATGTTACATAATTTAAAAAGTAGACTTAAAAATTAGACTTGATAATTTCAACTATTAATTTCACTGTAGGTCCCAGCATTTATTAGAATCCACTACCTATTCAATGGTTGAGATTATCAAGTCTAATTTTTAAGTCTATGTAACATTACCTTATAATAATACTTTTCAAAGGAAAAAACTCTAAACATGACAAGATTGTAACATCCATGAGTGAAATATCTTCTCTGCTGTAATAAGCTATGAGCACAGTCAGCATCAGATCGGATCGGATCGGTTTAATCGTAATCCATGACCTTAACCAGTCTGATTCTCTAATTAGACTGTTTAAAGAATAGAATCGACTCAAAATCGATAAACCAACCACTTTTTGGTCAAAACCATAAATTTGTTGATTTCTTAAAATCGAACGGTTCAAATTCCACTCATTATATAAAAAAAAAACTCTTTTTGGGCCATTTTGCCCAAAATTAATTCTATTCCAACTTCGCCTTCACTCCTCCAGGCGACGAATAGCTCCAGGCATGGTGACGCAACTCCCTCGATTAGCAACAACTCTCTTACTCAATCTTGATTCTTTCTAGATCTGGACTTTCTCCACTCAATTTCTCTCACTTAGTTGATCTGAGTCATCTCTCTCACTAAATCTCTTATGTTCTCCTTGGTTATGGTGGTGGTGTTAATTTCTACAATTATTCAAATTTGTGTTATTTGATTGTTCAAATGTGTGATCAGAAAAAGAAAAAAAAATGTTCAAACTTCAAAGTCTGTCCTTATCTTTTGTAATCTTTATCTTTTATATGATATTTGAACACATGGGTTTCTAATTTTTTCTACTTAACTTCATTAATTTTATGACAAATTGTATGAATTTTAGACATATGTAGTTGAAATATTTTGTTCTGTAGTGTTTGTAATTTTTTTATTATATAGTCGACTGATCAGTTGATCCAACGGTTGAACCAATGAACCATTGGCTCGATTCCTCTGCCGATTCAATGGGCGATCCAATTCTGATAACATTGTATAAACATCATAGAATGATAGCTTGAATAGGATCATACATGGTGGGTGATTTCTACTTACTATTTCCAAAAAGTCTAGTTAGTGGAGATAAGGATGTATTGTAAGCACAAATAATTTGAGTTTAAAATTTGATAATTTTTTTGGAGTCAGAATATGAGTAATTTATTTCTTATAAATTTTTTAGTCTCGGCGTGGATGACTTGTCTTTGACTTAAGACTAAAAATTGAGTCGAGCTTGTCGAACTCGCTTTTTTAAACGAACTCTAAAAAATGTTCAAGTTTGGTTTGTTCAAACCAAAATAACTAGATTATTTTACATATAAACGAGTCGAGTTTTTTATGTTTGTTTTTCTAAACGAACCTAAAAAATTATTTAAGTTTAACTCATTTAGAAAATAAATCGAACTCAAACTAAATTCAAAATGAGCTAAATCTAAGTCGACTCGATTATCAACCCCACTTTAATCTGACTGAAAAAAAAATTAATCAACATGCACATAAATTGATCCTAACACCCTAACCGTAATCCCCTAAAATAAGAAAAATAAAGTCCAATTAGTTGATAGCATATATATGTTGTGGGTTCCATTGACCAATGCTAAACAGGTGAGCTTCCATCAGTCATCATGAGGTGCCTTTCCATACTTCTTTCATAATCTATAATTAATTTTATTATTAATAATTTGTTTATTTTTAAACACTAAAAGCAGACAGGAGTACTGTATATTATAGTAACAAAGAACTTCTAATAAGGTGCAGTATCCACGAACACCATACCCTCCAATCACAACCCACCACCTTCAGCCTCTCTCTGCTTTTCTCTCTCCTCTCTGTTGTTGTTCTGCAGACCTCTGTCTCTCCTCTTCTCTCTTCAACTATTTTATCCAATTTAGATTCATTCCTTGAAGCTTGCTAGTTTGCTTTTTTCCGTTCTCATCATCTTTTTCCTGCTTTCTTCTCTTTTCTTTGCTGCTCATACATCAAGGTAAAAGGAAGAAAGCACACACGCCCCTTTCCACTTTTTTCTTACCCAGACCCCGTTCCTCAGAATTCAGAATTCCCCACTGTTTTCTCACTTGGGTTTTCGTTTTCCAGCTTTTTGGTGTCCTTGTTCTCTCCAGGCTCTTCAATCACCTCTCTCTCTCTCTCTCTCTCTCTCTCACACACACACACACACACAATTGAGACATCAAGAGGTTGAAGCTGAAGAAAACTAGTATTTACTCTCACTAACAAGCTGTCCTCCATTCCAATTCTCCAACACCATCTATTTCATTTTCTTTGAATTATTTCTGGATTTCAGCTCTTTTGTACCCTTTATTTTCGAAAAAAGTTCAACGAGTTCAGGCTCTTGATGATGGCTTCTAGGTTTTTAACTTTTTATCTTAGGGAGATGGTTTAATTCTAATTTTACTTTTTCAAATGCGAAGATTTTTTTTTATTTTTGATTTTGGAAAGGTCGGTTCTTTTTAGATTCCTCGGGGGTGGCTATAGGAAAACAGGGTATTCTGATTCCTCACAAATGCTTATTGATTTAACACTTGTTTTCCCATTGTGAAACCTCCGCTCCACCTCTCCCCCACTCTTGCTCTGTTTTTCCGTCTGTTTCATCAAAGAATTCAAGAATTTTTTGACCCAATTCAATGATGCAGAATTGCTAATTATATCAAGTTTTTAAGACTGTTATTCTCACAGTTATTCAGTTTTTATGAGGTGGGCTATGGAAATTCTATCACCAGCTTCTTATTTTTCGAACTCAAGGTGGTTGATTGACGACAGCAAAAAGAGTACCACATGGACACCTGAAGAGAACAAGAGGTTTGAGAATGCTCTGGCATTGTTTGATAAGGACACGCCGGATCGGTGGCAGAAAGTGGCGGCAATGGTTCCGGGGAAGACGGTGGTGGATGTAATGAAACAATATAAGGAATTGGAGGATGATGTTAACAGTATAGAAGCAGGGCTAGTTCCAATTCCTGGATATAGTACCTCGCCTTTTACATTGGAGTGGGGAAACAGTCATGGTTTTGATGGGTTCAAGCAGTCATATGGTCCTGAGGGTAAGAGAGCTTTATCAACTAGGCCTTGTGAGCAAGAAAGAAAGAAGGGTGTACCATGGACAGAAGAAGAGCATAAGTAAGCTTTCCCTTCAAAGTCATGTTCTTTTGTAAATTTTAGTGTACAGGCCTACATGGTAGTTCAGTATATGATACATCCATTGCGCCAAAGAGACTAGTTTTACAACTCAAACACACCGGTGATGCCTAGGTGACAATAGAACATCCTTGTCCTATTCCGAGGCTCTCCTTTAAATTTGTGTGTCATGATGCTAAAATTTCATTCAAGCATGCTATGAAACCAGTTTTTCTGTAGAACTCAATTTGGTGTGCTAGTTTTCTTTCAACGGAGAGCATGACCATCAGACCATATAATCAAAGAGCAATGGTATGTGTACCAAATGATTGTCAGTTGTCTGTTGGATGATAGTGGGCCCCACTATCATCCAACGGTTGACAATCATTTGGTGTATATATTCTTGATTTAATGACAGATGATCATGATTTTCACAATATATATATATAGATATTACAAGAATAACTATGCTGACTTCATTGTAGAAATATTTCTACTAGTTATGTTTTCTCTTTGCTAAATTCTGTTTCATTTTTGCTAAGCAGACTGTTGTATGGTTTTTCCTCTTTACTATATCAACATTCACCTAAATANTTTGCTAAATTCTGTTTCATTTTTGCTAAGCAGACTGTTGTATGGTTTTTCTTCTTTACTATATCAACATTCACCTAAATATTTGGTATGGGTGGCTTTGAATATTCCTTCACAGATTGTTTTTGATGGGGCTTAAGAAGTATGGAAAAGGGGACTGGAGAAATATCTCCCGCAATTTCGTGATCACCAGAACTCCGACTCAAGTGGCCAGCCATNGACTGTTGTATGGTTTTTCCTCTTTACTATATCAACATTCACCTAAATATTTGGTATGGGTGGCTTTGAATATTCCTTCACAGATTGTTTTTGATGGGGCTTAAAAAGTATGGAAAAGGGGACTGGAGAAATATCTCCCGCAATTTCGTGATCACCAGAACTCCGACTCAAGTGGCCAGCCATGCCCAGAAGTATTTCATCAGGCAGCTTTCGGGGGGAAAAGATAAGAGAAGAGCAAGCATTCATGATATAACAACAGTTAATCTCAATGACAATCAAACTCCTCCTTCACAAGAAACTAAAAAACCTCCTTCACCAGAGCAATCTACCACACTCTCCCGGGAGATGAATTCTGCTTCCATGTCCAAAACTTGTCAGTGGAATCAGCCAAATGATGGGGCTNGCAAGCATTCATGATATAACAACAGTTAATCTCAATGACAATCAAACTCCTCCTTCACAAGAAACTAAAAAACCTCCTTCACCAGAGCAATCTATCGCGCTCTCCCGGGAGATGAATTCTGCTTCCATGTCCAAAACTTGTCAGTGGAATCAGCCAAATGATGGGGCTGGCATGAGTTTTGATTCAACACATGAAAATGTTTTCATGTCACCACCTTACGGGGTTAATAATTCATATGGGCTTAAAATGCAGGGGGGCCAATATATGCAAAGAGGTGCTTTGAATGAATCTTATTTTGCGCCTCAGAATATGGTTTTTCAGATGCAGATTGCGCAGCAGTATACTCATGGATGAGATCATTATACCGAAAACTATGGATTGGAACTCCATGTCTCAGTTTAGTTCAGTAGCATAGTTGTGTTTCTTCAATTTGCTGGTGTTTTTTTTTGTGAATATGTTTGGCACTTTTGAGTTAGTAGAGAGCAATTGAACTTGAGGAATGTTGGACTCTCTCTCTGTGTTGGTAGGAATTTCAAATTCCAAGTTGCCAAATTTCAACCTAGAATAGAATAGACACTCTCTGCATGAGGATAATATGCAGATTCCATGTATGTTTGGGAATGTGGTGGTTTCAGGAATAAACATATTAGTTTCGATGCAAGAGATTGATTTCATGCTCGAACTCATGATATATCGTTTGAGCGAGAAAAGAGAAAAAAAAAATACGTGACATCGCTTCATGTCCTATCTTCCTAGAATGTCATTGGATGCTCATTTTGAATTGGCTGAATCACAAAGCACTCTCTTTCCAACTATTACTCAGCTTTCTGTGGTATGATGCAAATTTCATTCACAAAAATGTGCTTATTGACAAAGCTTGACCTGCAAATTTTAGTAGAAGCCGAGTATAGATTCCACTAATTGAGTCATCAGACGGGTCAAAACACTCTCTTGCCTTTTCTCTTAAAGATAATTTCTCCTTTTTTTGAGATCTTTTCTCAAGCATCCTTTTGAGAAAGAAGAAGATCCTACATTAAAAAGCAATGATTAAAGATTAAACTAAAAATGTATATGTTAGTACAAATTTAGATTCATGCCAGATTACACTGCTTTTGGAAATTTTTTCCTGTAACTCCTCTTTTAATACAATTTTAATCTCTTCAAAGATCCAGTTGATAAGACTACTTTACCAACCATGTAAAACTAATCAAAAAAGGTTTTCGCTGTTGTTCAATGTGCCTGTTAATGGAGACAAAACTACTTAGCTTTTAATTCGGCAGAGAAAGTCCCTAGTCAGTTTTTCACTCAGTTTTAATTATTCAGATGAAGAAACTTTTTTTCTTTCTAATTAAGTGGTTTTGAACTAATGATGGCACTAATGGGCCTTTGATCTAATAATACTCCTTACCTTNATTATTCAGATGAAGAAACTTTTTTTCTTTCTAATTAAGTGGTTTTGAACTAATGATGGCACTAATGGGCCTTTGATCTAATAATACTCCTTACCTTATGAAGGCTTTACCTTTTTGTGATCAAGGGTTCAAACTCCTTTCCTCCTCCCCAAAAAAAAAAACTAATGATGGGTGCTCAGTCAAATGTTTTGATCAATTCTAACAATATACAATTGATAAGATCAATTCCAAACAATTCTATTTTGTTGTAACACTAGTCATAATCCGTGTTTGAAGGCACGATGAAACATGAAATTCAAACGCGTAAAAAATTGATCCCATGATATTAAATGTTTTTTAATATGTTGATACTATTGAATAATGGTTGAAATAAAAATTAAATATTAAATAATTAAAAATATGATAAAAATGAGTGATGTGATATTTTTAAGGAGAAAAATATATAAAAGATAAAAATTCAAATTGTTATGTGTTTTATTTTATAGATTTTTCGATTGAATCATAACTTTGGTTACAATTCGGAAGGTAATCCTTTGGTATTGTAGTTTTTCCTATGAACTTTGATGGAAGTCGACATCATTATTCAGCCATCTAATTATTTTTTTTGTTTTTCTCTCTCAATCATTGTAGACAAGCAAGAATTTGGCCTNCATTATTCAGCCATCTAATTATTTTTTTTGTTTTTCTCTCTCAATCATTGTAGACAAGCAAGAATTTGGCCTACATCACAAAATTTTCAATTAAAATTTTTTTTTTTAAATGGTAACTGGTTCAAGAGTAATGACATGTATTACAAATAGTTTATCTAATATTGTTTACCAAATAAACGTAGATGGTTGGATCAATGAGTCATGCTAAAAAAAATTAACGAAACCTCCTGATTCAAAATTCATATTGATTTGTGAAATAAAATTTTGTAAAACTTTTGGTAACTGTTTTTTTTTTAACGAAAGGAAAAGTTTTATTGAAACCAAAAAATTAAAAGAATCAAAAAATTACAAACAGTTTGGTAACTGTAACAGTGTTTACTGTTCAGTAACACTATTGTTTCTGCTTCTGCAGCAGCATGAAAAGCCCAAACAAGCATTGCATATAGTAAATTTGTATCCCACCCAATAAGCAATGATTTTTTTTTTTTTTTGGGTTTAATGTCTGGATTATCTTATGCTGATTTCTATTAATCTCCTCTTCAATCCAGTTAAAGACAAATCATTCACACCAGAATTAGGATATTCATGAGGGATAAAATCTCTCCTAATCTAACCCTAAGAAATTGTTAAAATTTAAACTCAAAACGTCTAAATTTATAATTCGTACGTATCACCACCCAACTACCCAAGGCAACCTAAAGAATATGACCATTGAAATTTCTTTTGTGTAGTAGATAACAAAACTGACCACTTTATTTTGGAAAAGGAACAGCATTTCTGCAACTTGCAGAAGAGAGCACCTTGCCCACTTTATTCCAATTTTCATCTGCCCCTCAACTTGTAACTACCACTTCAAAACTTTCGGTAATCCAAATGGGTTTCTTCTCTATTCGAAGAAAATATTCTGATTCTTCTTTCTTAGTAGTAATCTTAATGAATGAAATAATAGACACTATTAACTCTTAGAGGTGATTTAGTGGTTGAGTCAGTCTTTTGATAATTCAGAGGTTTCAAGTTCAATCTCTTCTCCTACCTCTTAAGGATTATCACCTTTGTCTTTTTGGGAACGTCCTCTAGACCAGCTCAAATCACGGTGGCCCACCGTTGAGTTCAAATGAGTAATTAACGAAAAGTTGGACACCCCGTAACAAAAATAAAAATAAAAATAATAGACACTATTTACAAGTGATGCTATGATTCGTAGATAAAAAGATTAGGGAAAGTTCATTGATGGGTTATTTGGGAGCAAAGTTTCACTCCCTACTCGGCTTAAGCCCATCAGACTAGTTGAGATGATACAACTTCAGTGATTAATAATATGTTGAGTTTCTAATTTCAAGGCTCAACATAAACACTTTATCAGTGATTGCATACATATCAAATTCACGCCACGAGCACATATAACTTACTTTTTTTAAGGGATCTTATAACGTATAAGAGAAAAGAATAAAAAAGAACCGAAAGCAGGGATGCATAATACCCCTATTCCATCACAAACTAAGACAATTGAACAATCAAAATCCATGGCATCAAGTGAAATATATTATGCGCTCAAAATCTCATGGCATCTTCGGACAGAGAGAGAATGGTGCAAAACAAACGACATATAATCATTCAAAAGTAGGTGAATTCGGTTAGGGAGTAGTAAAATGAGTTAATTCCTATTTCTGACCACAAAATTTTCGAAATTGACTCTTTTTTTTCCCATGTTTTGTGGAGGTGTCATGTTGCCTCTCTTAAGTCATCTAATAGCGATATTGCCTTAAATTGTTTTCATCCTATATACCCTACTCATCCATAATTAGGCATAGCAACGATTGCACAATTACCCTAAACTAATATGAGGTCTTGAAAAGGCATCGTATTCGATCATTTTACCTCAACAACAATGGGATGACATTATATTCCGTGTATTTAAAATTGAAGCTTCTTCATCCATCAGTGCTACTGAGACGAAGAGGAGAAGATAGACAATTAGAGAGATGCACGCAAACACAGAGAAATTGCGAGAGGTAAAAAACGTTGGGAACCACTTATAATCTAATGACCATAATTACTATGTCCCTAAGCATTGCTCATCTAAAAATACTCTTATCATCATACATTACATAATGTGATACTAATTACCTCTTTATAAGTAACATAAGAGTTACTTTACCTGATTGCCAATCTTAGTAATAATAATAATAACAGTTATTATTATCATTAAAATTATACAGGTCAGGTGAAATAATACAGAACAGGAAGAATACAAGTTGAAGTTCAATACAAACTGGGCATTTCTTTAGTGACTTGCCCTCTGTCTTTTTTGGTTGGTTCAAGAAACTCAAGAGCTTCACCCAGCTTAGGATAACAAAACCAACCAATTCTAAAACACTTTCTTACTGCTTGTTAATCCAAATCCAAAGGGAAATAGAGGGTCAAATGAGTTATCCCCAGCCCGCATTGGCAGCTGATTAACTGTTTTAAACCAAGTGATTGGGAGTCTTCCCTGAAACTCATAATCTCCAAATATCACATCTGTAATTCCAACTCCTTCACTGCCTGGCAACCAAGCAGCAATCAGAGCATCTATTTTTTCCAATAGTGATGGTTCCAGAACCAATGGCCTTCCGGAGATCAGAATCATCAGCGTGGGAACTTTGTCAGCAACTAAGCTTACCAATTCAGGGCCATTGAAGGGAATTGTCAGCACTGGATTGTCGCCACCCGTTTCTGCGTATGGCTCTTCACCCACCACCACGATGGCATATGAAAAAGCTTGACCAGTAAAGGTTTCCGGTGATGGATTTTGTTCATATATGACTTCCGTTTTGTCTCCCACAGCTTCTTTAACAGCATCCAAGATGGTTGTGCCTAATAAGTAGATGATCTCATAGTTAGCTCACATGCATTTTACCCTTTTTAAACTACTAACATAAAAGTTTTACTCTTCCACTAGTTTAACATTAGTTGTTTATCATCTCGATTAACTGAAACCATGTCAAAAATCAATGGTCATTTTAATTTTGAGATCAACTTATTGCTAATAATGATTCTATTAGGTATATTTGCCAAATAACCACTTACCAATCGTAGTTCTGCCACTACTTCCTGCCCAAGTGATTGTCCATCCTCCACATTGGTACCCAAGATCATCAGCATGTGTTCCAGTAACAAGAATTCTTTCAGCATTTCGATCCAGAGGAAGAAATGGTTTCTTTGGATCCTTCCCATTCTTTAAGAGAACCAAGGACTTGCGAACCGCTTCACGTGCTAGTTCCCTATGCGCCTGACATGATTTTCATTATGTAAAACCCTTAGCTTTGAATGCTATCAATAACAGCAGGACTCAATGGATAACATTCAATTGACTATTTTTCTTAACAGAGAACAAAATGAAGATTCAAAAGTTGAGATGGTAAATCTCACAAAATGGAAAATATGCCAAATTCAATCAACCTCTAAATAAATCAGGGTTTGTCATATTTTTCTTACGACAAAACAGCCATAATTTGTACATGAAGTCGATAAAACATTAAAGAGTTCTACAGATTTACCTTGCAACCAACTAAATCTAACAAAGATCTATCACTCAGGGGATGCTCAAAAAGTCCAGCAACAAATTTGACTCTGAGGATACGTTCAACAGCATCATCTACCCTGGTCATTGGTATCGCCCCCGATTCTACCAGGTACATCAACTCATTCAAGAAAAATTGGTATCTAAAAGGAACCATAACCTGAAAAGTTTCAGCAAGGTAAATAGAGATATGGATTATGTGAAAGACCTTATTGTTTGGGCTTCAGCAACTGAAATTTAATATCTACCATATCTATTCCTGCATTGACAGTAGACAAGATGCAGTTACGATAGTTTGACCCATATGGATCAGCAAGTCTGTCAAGTGCTTCCCAGTCTGAAATTAAAAAACCCTGGTGCAGAACACATTTGAAGTTAATGTCTAATGAAGATAGCATACTAGCATGGTAATTAATCTAAAATGTCATTTTATCCTCCCCAAACCCTAGGCCAATGAGATTTTGAATTAAATTTACCTTAAATCCCAGCTTATGTTTTAATATTTCTGTTAAAAGAAAATAGTCAGCGTGTAATTTTCTTCCGTTCAAGCTAGAATAGGATGCCATAACTGTGCAAACACCCTGAGAAATACAGTCCAAATATGGCGCCAAATGGATCCTCTCCAAATCTTCATATGATGATATGGTATTCCCCTCATTTATACCTTTGTCAGTTCCACCATCGCCAACAAAATGCTTGGCACATGCAATAACATTGTTCCTGAAATCAAGTGAGTTAATGAACATGAACATAAGTGGATGTCTCAAATAATATCTCAAACAGAACAATAGCCAAATATTAGGAGATAGACAACACAGAGACAACATAGCTATCTTTCATCCAAAATCTCCTCAAGAGGGAAAAAAGGAAGCTTCAACAAGCTTAAATCAGTCCACCTAATATAAATTTTGATTTTGCTTTTTACACCATGCAATATGAATTCCTTGTCATGCAATGAAAATTACTCAAGACGCAATGAGTATAAACTAGGAATGAGGACCAAATACAAAGATATGGGATGATTATTTCTATATACCTTCCACCTACAAAAGGATAGCCCTTTGGGTGTCCTTGGGGTGGCTGCCCTTGTAAGCCTGTTATCAGGGAAGTCATCTTTCTAACAACTTCAGGGTCTTCACTATAGCTTTCATAAGATCTTCCCCATCTAGAATCCTTGCAAACCTGGCAAAATATAGTCAAATTGTTATGCTGGAAAAATCAATGTCCCTCACAAAAGAGCAGTTCAGACGACATGACAACAACCAATTTGAATCCTAGGAATAAAACCACATTACATTTAAGTCTTTCATTTGAGGATGAATCTCACCATACACAACTTGAATATGAGATCCAAATTTTGTCCTACATAACGGTCAAATAAATTTATGCATTCCACCCAAAAAGGTATTACCTAAATCACATAGAGCGGGGGCATAAAATTGCAGGAAAATTCAAAAAAAATTTAGAGTGGGAATGCCTTGAGAGCGTCATATTATATGCATACAAACACATTTATATAATAAAGTACAATACAATGCATATCTCAAAGATAAACAAAATAACTTTTACTTTTCGCAATTGAGATTTTTTAAAATTTTACTTTAAAGTTAATCCAACAGCTAATATTAATACACTAAATTTAATATGGAAAATATGTCCCTAAGAATGTGTTTGAGATGATTTTTTAAAACTGTTTATAGAACTTATATCTTCTCATAAGTAATTTAAAAAAAAATTTTAGAATCGCCCCATCGCCCTATCACCACCACCACAACAACCACCATCATCACCACTACCACCACCACCATCGCCGCCACCC